TAAGTTATCATATCTAATGTATGAGTGAAAGACATACACAATCTTTCAATTCAACCAACTCCCATATTTAACTTCAAGTATTTATGGTGGATCACAATAAAATAGCATAACATATGGTTGAATAGCTACAATACTAAAAGATATGAAAGAACTTCAGTAAACTCTTAAGGGGAGTTTGGAAAATTTTTCTTTTCTTTTCTCCCTTATGTTAATATGTAATAAGCAAAATGTACTGTATTTTTTCAATGCTGTAATGCTTATAAAGAAATTTCAGTATGATCGTATCTAATAAGTTCATCAAATATATTTGTTGTAAAATTTTATGACCTTTCTGAATTTATAGGTCCCCTTCTATTTAATAAGAGAACCATCACGATACAAAAGAGATGTATTAAATAAAGGGAAAGTATGTGTCTTGTTTTCACATAGTATTAAAAGCAAAAACTATCAGCCTATCAGGAATGAATCTAGATCAATCGATAGCAGATTTATAGTTTCTAAGCTTAGGGCAACCATGAGTTCGACATCATCCGGCAATGAATATTTGATGTACTCAAAATATCTCTCTTTATGGAAAAACTAAATGAACTAAGTTTTACCAACTCCTTAAAAATCATTTCTTGAATACTGTAGTAGACCACAAATTAGAAGACACTTGGGAGTCATTTGCTAAGATGTAATAAGAAAATCTAGTACATGTATACAACATATGCAATATTATAGGGTGCATAAATAATATGTAGAAAATTAAATTTCCTCTCAAGTATTATCAAATATATGGAAAAACTATGGTATCAACAATATAATGACCGTTAATTTATGGATAAGATGTTTAAAAATAAAATCACCCTTAATATACCAAACTACCAATCTTAACAAAGATAATGTCATACATATGTGTCATGATGAACTTCTGATAGTGTAACTGCTATCTTAAAAGAATTTCTTCCTTGATTCCTTTTGACACGAGAAAACTTCTCGTGTTTCCTTTACTACTCTTTCTCTTTGCTTAGTTGCATATTGAACCAAAAAAGTTTTTCGATGTCTTTCCTTGCTACTTCCAATCAATCAGGAAAAGGATGATTGAGCAATGGCTTGGAAAATAAGATAGCAATAGATAATAAAAATCTTACCGTAACTAATGTCAACATTAGTTATACACTCTATCCAATACTATTTTTAAGCACACTACAAAAAGACCCTGGTACCTATACCTAAGGTTATTTTAACATCTGAAGGACCTAAAATATGTAAGGTCAATTTTTAGATAATTAAATAAATATGATTCATGGGTAATGCTTAAAAATCCAAGGTCAAATGCTTTCTTTCGAATGATGTTATAAAAATTGAAAAATAGGAACTTGTATACATTCCACAAGATTACATTTTTGTTAAATACTACCAAGAATTTTATTTGACTATAAATCTTAAGATGGATTTGAACATATATAATTTACACAGTGTAATTGTCCATCTTATCGTTGATATCAATCAATCTTCTAACTAGACAACCCTCTCCTTTAAATTATGACTATACCAAAATATGTTATATCAACTTAATTTATAGCAATGAATGTAACACTAAATAATTAGATTAAAGCAGAGTGATTTTATACACATTATTTGTGATACAAATAACACACTGTCTCCGTTTGCTCCACTAAAATAATCTAGAAGTAAAAAACGTGAACCATCATATGCTAGTCCAGATTAATCTTATTCACAATAGTTGTTTTCTAATAAATAGATTTTGAATTACTAAAATTTAAAACATTCCACATACAAATGATTATTTCATTGTAATCTCACATGTGAGGTATGAGTAGAATAGTGTGGATACAGAGCCTACTCCTATCTTGGAGGATAGGAAGGTTGTTTTCGATACACCATCAGTTCAAATCAATATAAGGAGTGAAAAGAAATCAAGACAAAATACTACACTTGCTCATACAAATCAAATTAATTGTAGTCGCAGTGTAAGAAAAATGGAAAGTGTAGAACTATATGATTACTCACATGATTTCGGAATGCTAACAATTTTGATTCCTTCAGGACTTGCCTCACGTACAATGATTTTTGTCGCTTTGCATGTCCTTATTCTTTATCTTGTTTTGCATTCAAGAATCTCCAATTATGATTTTCATAATTCTCAAATCATAAGTTACTATCAAACAAAATTTGCAGCCTACAAATGATCATGACAAAATTAAAGTTAAAATTATATAAAAGTTCAAATATAAAAATTTAAAGGTCTATTGACTAAAAATTACCACCTAAGTAAAACTTAAAAGGTAGGAGAGGAAAGTTCACTATTTATAGAGAACAAAGAGTAGTATGAACAAATGATTATTGTGTCTTACCATAAAGGTTACAACTCTTTGGTAAAGTTACAACCCTTCATAAAGGTCAAAACCTTTCATAAAAGTCACAATTGTTCATAAAAGTCATAACTCTTCATAAAAGTCATAACTTTTCATAAAATTCACAACTGTTCGGAAAGGTTATAACTCTTTGAAAAAGTTACAACCCTTCGAAAGGTTACAACATTTCATAAAAGGCACAACTTTTCGTAAAACGTTCAACTCTTCATAAAAGTCAAAATTATTCATAAAAGAAGGCTAGTTTTGAAAATAAAATAAATTGAAAGGGAATCCTGATTTGTTGTGGTGCCACGTAGGCGGGTTTAGGGTTCTCTTTATAATATTTATTTCAAATCTTAAATTTAGTATATTATATTCCATAACATAATAATTGTGGATGAATATCATTTTAATGCACCAATTCAAGATGCTTGGGAAAGTCCAACTCCAACGGTAGAAATGACAGTAGATAACAATGATCGATTTAAACAATTTTTAACTTTGCACAAAAAACTAAAGGCAAAGATGCTCATTTTGAACTTCGTAGTGCATTAATAGAGCAATTATCAGAGCAACATACTAATCTTTTTGATGTTGAATATTTATGTAGAAAACAAAATAAATTTTATAATCATTTAATATTTATTTAATTGTATTTCATCAATGATTTCACTTTTATTCATATTATCCATTAATATGTATAATGTGTAACATTTGCTATCTAATTATATTATTTTAAAACACTTGTAATATCAAATAATTTTATATAAAACGATTGTGTTAGAAAAGAATGTGAATTATATTGGGTGAAAATGTGAAAATATTTTTTTTATGAAATAAAAAATATAAAATAATAATATAATATTGAGAGAGAGAAATATAAAAAAATATTCTATTTAGTGAAATTTAATGTAGTGGATTGGAGTTGACTCTATTTTAGTGTAAAATTTGGTGTTATGGGTTGGGATACCCTTAGAGGGGTGTCGAATGCAGGCAAGTAAAAATGAAGAGAGTTGATAAAATTATGACTCAAACTTGTTGAAAGTTTATTGGGTAAAGATGATTATGACTCAAACCTGTTGAAAGTTTATTGGGTAAAGATGAGTTGGGTCAATCTAGACTTCTTTTGATCATCGTGGTGTCCAAGCCAACTTTCGCACACCTCGATTAATTCCACGAGATACGTGCTACCTACGCTAGAATGGGTACCAAGTAACTCTGTCCACCAAGGCTAAGACAGCAGGGAAGAATCACTTAGTATTTTTTTGTCTCCACTAAGTTTTGAACGTGACACCTCAGTATTTCTCAACCACTTCATTGACCACTAGGTTCTTAACCACTAAAGTGGATTTTGGAAACTATTTAGTCTGTCACCAATCTTATTTAATACGATAATTTTTGTACTTGGCATATATTTGTCTCACATGTGAAAAAATATCTTAGACTCCGTGAAAATAGGAGAGAATTCAGGAATATAATTTCTTGATTATTCCCTCAAGTATGTTGGGATTAAGTTGTGTTTATTAGTAATCATGAAAAAGAAAAAAAAATAATTCCTATTCCTAATTACACAATCATTTGCGTTCGGAACATTTCCCATATTTACAAGGAATAGGCTCTTACCAACAACGTCCTAATTATTCTTAGTGCTATCCTCTTTGAATTTCTCTTATTTCTCACTGGTCTTTGCCAATGTCAAATCAGCCAACAGATATGTTCAAGATGCAGCTTCGGAATGTACATCTGGAAGTACAAGGGATATGTTCTGAGGCAGCCATTATTCTTTGCTCACCCTGCTTTGTCTCTCTTCTGTTTCTGTCTCTAGTTGCCTCTCTTTGGGCTTTTGGAGCTTAAAAACCATATAACAATAGCACAATCACTGCATTTATTTGAAAAAATACTGCTTGTGATCTAAGACATTAGGTTAATTGCCTGTTCAATTTAATAACCATATTAATGATAGCTATTAGTTGAGTATTGGTATAAGACTTGTTAGAGAATCAATATCATTATTATTTTAACTACGTTGCCAGCCCAAGCTCATATATATGTTACTCCGTATGTCCCAATTCATCAATTTATGTGGCATGGATGGAATATGGAGAGTCAACCATATTGTCTATGGTTTTAACTATTTTTAAGTTGTTAATTGTTGTGATTATAGTACTTTTTACATCATTTTCAGATAATATATGTCACTCTCTCTGTCCCAATTTATGTGGCATTGATAAAATTTCGAGTCAACCGACTTTTTTATGTCTCTTAAATGTTTTAAGTTGTTAATTATTGTGATTTATAGAAATTTTTTCGTAATTTTTGAATATATAACATTCTAAAAAGACAAGTAAGACGGAGAAAATATTGAATTTCCCTCGGCTAGAAGCAGACATGTTGAGGGACAGCGGCCTGCTTCTGGCCACTTACTAGTAACAAAATGATATATAAAACTTATTTTTAACTTTTATTTTACTTAGTATGATGTTGATACGAAATGACAAAAAGTGGAGATTCATATCGTCAATCCCAACTTATTTGGGTCTGAGGCGTAGTTATTATTGTTGATGACAATGATGTCATCATTATGATATATTATGTATCCTCTCTTTTTTAAAAATAATTATTTTTATTTTTTATTTCCAGTTTTGGCAAGGAAAGTATACATGGAAGAAATATTTAAGCAAGCTACTGATGAACGGTATTGGAATCTCTGGAATCGCCAGAAACTATGTTCTGAGCTGGAGTTAAAGAGGCAACATGTAAACGAAGTTAATAAGGTACCATCAGAATGATCAATGTCAATGCTTTTGTTCCTTCCCTTCCTAATGTTTTCCTCATCACTTCTGATTTTCTACTTTACGTAGAGCTTGACCAGCCAGCTGATTGAATTGGAGAGACATTTCAACACTCTCGAGTTGAATAAGTTTGGCGACACTGACAGGATACAAACAAATAAAAGAGGTTTCCAGAGCAGGCCTGGACAACCCAGGTATTGGTGTTCTCCTGTTCTCTTTGGCTACACAATTAGGTCTATCTTAGTTATGATTGTCTACTTTTTACAAACACTTCAATATGATTGCATGTACTGCTTAAACTTTCTTTTCGTGAGAAGAACAAATTCGCTTCTCCAACCTGCATTCCCTCTGTACCAGAACCTTGTTATTCTCATCTTTATTGATTAAAGTTTGGGTGAATGTTGGAGCTATTTGCATTTCAGGAATTTTCAGTCCTTGCACAATTTACGTAATACAATGACTACACAGCTAATAGTAGCAGAGCAACTTTCTGAAAGTCTCTCGAAACTAATGACTGATTTGAGCATAGATTCTCCTGCAAAAGGTCAGAATATTAGGAAGGAATTGTTTGAAACAATTGGTTTACCCTATGATGGTGCTTCTCACAAGTCTCCAGCTAGGGAAAAGGCTGAAAATACACCTTTTAACAAGGAACTATCAGTCTTTCTTGCTGTTAAAGAACGATCCAGGAGAAAGAAGCCAAGTCCTGTGAAGAGCCTTGAGCCAGAGACAGCTAGGAGACGCCGTGACTCACTTGATCGGGTAATATTCCGACCTTCTCTTGAGATGCTGATAAAATTTCTCCAACTTGACACCTGGAACACCTTTAGGTGGGCCACTGCTTTATTGCATAAAACATCATATTTCAATATGAATAATTGTTGCTGTTATTTATAGCTGATCTGACTACTTTAAAGCTTTCATTACTTCACTTATTGTGCACATGAGGGAGTGAATTTTAACACAGTTGTGTTGTATAGTTGTGTAGTATTAGACAAGGTCCCGGGCTCTGACGGATTTACTTTGGCTTTCTTCCAAAATTGTTGGAGTACAGCTAATAGCGATATTATTCAGACCATCAATGAGTTCCAGGAAAGAGGGGAATTTTAGAGGAGCTTAAGTGTTTTATTCATCGGCATTACCCCTAAACGGGAGGGAGCTACGTACATCGGGAATAATAGACCTATTAGTTTCTAACAGTGCTTTATATTAGACTCAAGAAGGTCTTGAATAAGTTTGTTTCATCTTCACAAAATGCTTTTGTGGAAGGTAGGAGATCTTGGATGCAACTTTGGTGGCAAACAAAGTGGTAGATTCGAGAAAGAAGCAGAGTGTACGAAGAGTATTGGCAAGCTAGATCTTGGAAAGGTTTATGATTATACTGAAAGTTCCTTGATTTCATTATGCTGAATGGTATTTGGGAAGAAAATGGGTCAGCTTTCGTATTTCTTTGGTGCGCTACTCAGGTTGGTGCCATTATATAGGCCACAACACCTTAGTCACATGTCTTATCCTTTGCAGTTGACATCCCTGAACTGCGAGGCCAATTTGAATTCAAAATACAAGTGTACTTATCTTGCTGACAATGCCAGAAACGGCTGAAAATCTCGGAACTTCCCTACTGTCGATGCATGTGCGTGGCACACGCAGGCGACCTTCACATCTGGTGCCAAAATGTCTACTCTGGCACCCAGCTTCATGCCTTCCCCATGTGCCTGCATTGTGCGCAGGTTCTCCATTTGTTATGGGGTCAACTTATGGTGGTTCAACGCCACAAAGAAGTCATGCACGTATGACTCCGGTTGAACCTTTCGGATAGGCGGAAGATATACCCCACCTTCCATGTGAGTTTTCTGAAGTCATTTCATGAAGATGCTGGGGATCCAGCAAGTTCGGCATCCAGATGTGCCCTTCCTGTTGTGCGGAAGCACTATGAGGAAGAGATTGAGAAGATCTTGGATGACCACTAGCAAGAAGAATCAGTGCATAGAATGAATTTCTGGTGGGCAAACCGGTGTGATTTTAGTTGGGAGAGAGGACCATAATTGTGGCAGTTTGAAGATGAAGTCAAGGCGTACATAGATTCTGCCTTGTCAAGGACGACGAGCTCATTTAGTGGGGGAGGTTTTGATGGCTAGGGATTTACATGATGAACCTAGTCATGACCAAATGACTTCGGTTAAGATCAACTTTACTTAAGGCAAGACTGCCGGCAGGTCATGACAAGACCTTGACGGTGGTGTGAATAAGGCATGACAAGGGCTGCTCTAGGCAAGGCTATGGTTGTGGCTGAGACAAGTTTGTGGACTATGACCTGGACCATCACACACTGGTTTGCCCTTCCATTGAACCAGAGGTTCTATCCGCCGATTCTTCTTGCTATGACCCAATGTCTGGTGATCCAACATCTTCTCAAATCCTCCCTCATATTGCTACTGCACAACAGGAGGGGCACGTCTGGATGCCAACCTTGCTGGGATCCCTAGCATCTTCATGAAATGACTTCAGAAAACTGACATGGAAGGTGGGGTGTATCTTTAGCCTATCAGACAGATTCAGCCGGAGTATACAACGTCGTGTGGACTATGACCTGGGCAAGGCAGGCGAGTAAGGGGATTGGGTACCAATTACAAGTTGTGCGATGCAGAACCTGCACACGTGCACATGCTTCGGATATTGGATAGTTTTTTTAATTTCCAGATGTTGATGCTACAGGATTAGTAAGACTTATATCATGAAGCAGTTGGGTTACCCCCAACTGCATAGATGACAAGACATGTGCCTGGCGTGTGACAAGCGGTTATGGCCTATTTGATGTTACAGGCCAGATTTAGCTTTGTTGGCTGAGCTTTGAAAGGCTGAGTTCTGTGTGCTTCTTTTTGGCACAAGTTAAAATACAAAGTTGGGAAGCAATTCTTGTATGTGCCTTATGTTGTGATTTCATATGCCATAAATAATCTGAGTGTTGAACCAAACTTATGGAAAAAGAAGAGGGCTAAGTCGTAGGTGCGTGACTGCTGTGTGGAGTCAAACGAGGAAAAGTTAACCCATAACAACTGGAGAACCTATGCACAAGGCAGACATGTGGGCAAAGACGCGAAGCTGGGAGCGAGAGTGTGCATTTGGTGCCAGATTTGAAGGTTGCCTGCGTGTGCCGTGCACATGCCATGGTAGTACGGCAGTTCCTTGATTTCCAGCCATTTGTGGTATTATCTACATGATTAGTTAGACTTGTATTTTGAATTTCAAATTAGCTCAACAGTTGGAGGATGTCAACTGCATAGGATAAGACGTGTCTGACATGTAACAAGGTAGTTGTGGCCTGTTTAATGAAACATGCAGACTTATCATAAGTCAGATTTGGCTTGACTGGGCACAGAATTTAAGAAATATGGGAAGACTTTGATATGTTTCAAAACTACCCGTCAAATAAATGAATTATTAATAAAAGAGTACACCTTTGTGGACATTTTGCCAATAAGTGGGACCCAACATGGGTAAAATGTTGACAAGTGTCATCAAACATCTGTCAAGTGAGGAAATATGTCATTCCTTTTGGGACCAATTAGAAAGGAAAGTGTGTCACATAAATTTGTGACATAAGGATTAAGGAATGCATATTTTAAAACTAAAAGAAAAACAGAACATTTTGGGCTTTGGTACTACACATAATTATCTTAAACTTGGGATGATAATCTAAGAGTAATTGGTTTAAAGTAGGTTCTGTCAGTGACATCTTTCAGCAATTAGCGAGTACAATGGTATATGCACTTACAATATGCAAAGCAAAAGAAAGACAAAAGTAGCCGGGCAATCTGAATACTAGATTACATAGTAAGACATGAAAGTAAAAATAGTTTTGTTTTGCTGACTGTTAATCCATTGAGTAAATTATGCAGATTCGTGTGGAGTATGTACTTGGAACGTGTAATTAAGAGGACAATCTTAAGCATCTATTCAAATTATTGTTCCAATTGGAAAATAATATTGTTGTCCTATTTTCAAAGACGTGGAGCTTCATTATTCCTTGAGCTAAAGTTTCCCTTGTCGCATTCCTTAAATTGGTACCATCAGAACTATACTTGGTATTTAGCATTTTCATGGCTAGATAATCAAGTGGTAGTATCATTCATTTTGTTTTAAGCTTAACTTGCGGTATCTTTTTTGACCTTTTGGCAGAATTGGGCAAGCTTTGAAACTCCCAAAACAACTGTGAAAAGGATTGTTCTTCAAGAAGATCGCCCGAAGGAAACTTCAAATAAGTCATCTTTGTCACTGGATAAGAAACATCACCAGTCTAGGATGCGCGAGAGATCAGCGACTGCTCAATCAAATATCTTCAGTGCCTCTTCCATCTCTCCAGAGCAAGTTAGAAGCCAAGGTTCCCAACCTAAACTAATAAATATGCTAAATGTGTTCAGTAAATGAATATAATGTATTTTGCTAAAATATATGTAGGTCTTCACGATATACCAGCAAACCAGTCCACTAAAAATTCTTTTTTTCCAATGGGCAGATGTACTTCCAAGACATGCAGCTGAAACGCCACCAATGATTTCTCCAGTATCTTCACTGCAGCATGAGTCACAGTTGACCGGAGTTACTAGCCAATATGGTTTAGTAGATACTCACAATCTTGCTACGACAAGATCAGGCAGAAGCACAATACCACTTAAAGATATTGTGCAAACAGGTGGACCAGGGGCTATTCAGCAATCAGGGAACAGAATGCAGCAACCAAATTCGTCAGGTCCTCCTGCACAGACATTGGCCCCAATCAAGTTTACAATTGATACTTCAAATGCTGATGGTAAACCTGGAATCACCAAACCCAAGTTTACAATTGATACTTCAAATGCTGATGGTAAACCTGGAATCACCAAACCCAACTTTACAATTGATACTTCAAATGCTGATGGTAAACCTGGAATCACCAAACCTGTCAGAGATTGGAAAAATGCACCGGTGACTAGTGGAAGTGCACAGTTTGAATCTAACAGTAATCTTAACTATTCTTTACCAACTGCTGCTGCTGCGGCTAATTCTGCCTTCACTCTGTCTGCTAAGTTTATACACTCAGAAGTTGTGAATAAAAGCCAAGGTAGTGAGATTTCATTATCTGCCCAAGAATCAACACATAGTTCCTCTTCGCATGTAAAAATCATGCCGTCAGCATCTTTATCTTCTTCACAAGAGCCAATGTTGTCACCAATATCATCCCCGTGGACATCATTCGAATCCGTTTCTAAAGCCAGTATAGGTTCCAATCAAAAGATCTCTCAATCATCAGTAGCTTCTCTGACGCAGTCGTCATCTCTTCAAAGCACTCAAAAATTGGATACCTTACCCATTACACCTTCTTCAGATAGTACAAGGTCTGAGTCCCCAACAATCCTGTCTCGACCTTTGGTTGCCATACTTGATAAAAAGGCTGATACAAATTCCGATAAACCAGCTTCACTTGCGAATCTAAGTACAAAGATAGATACACCACAAGATCCAGCTTCACAGCCTGTGGTATTGTTCAGTGTGCCTAAATCACAAGCTGGACCTTTGGTACAATCAAATGAACAGTCGCCCAGTTTGAAATCTGCAAGTCAGGTCCATCCTCGTGCGGAATCAAGTCAAGTCTCAAATGTTGGTTTGAATCCTATACCTGGACAGCCATTTTCTGGTTCTTCCATTCCACCATCAGTGAAGAGTGGTTGTTCAGATGTTGTCACCCATGAGGATGACATGGAAGAGGAAGCTCCTGAGAATAATCAGATGAAGGAGAATGCACTGGGTAACTTGGCTGGGTTTGGTATTGGATCTGCTGCTACTCCAGTTTCTACAAAACCTAATCCATTTGGTGTTATGTCACCGAATAAAGCTTCATCTCCAGCAAACTCCTTATTTACAAGTACAGCTTCAAGCAGTGAGTTATTTCGACCAGCGTCATTTAGTTTTCAACCAATACAGCCACCTCAACCATCAGCACCTGCAAATTTTGGTGCCTTTCCTGGTAGCTTTAGCCTCACTTCCACGAGTCAGGCTCCAGCAGTGAGTGGGTTTGGCCAGCCGGCTCAGGTTGGACAAGGGCAGCATGCTTTAGGTTCAGTTCTTGGTACTTTTGGACAATCAAGGCAGCTTGGTGCTGGAATACCCGGAACTGGTGTGGGATCTGCAAGCTCTTTTGGCGGAGGTTTTATGAGCAATAGCTCTGCTGGTGGTTTCGGAGGTGGGTTTTCCAATCTGAGTTCTGGTGGTGTTGGATTCGGTGCTTCTGCTGCACCCAGTGGTGGATTTGCTGCTGCTGCCACAGGTGCTGGTGGATTTGCAGCCGCTGCCACATCTGCTGGTGGATTTGGAGCTGCTGCTGCAGCTGGTGGTGGATTTGCTGCTCCAACTGGTGGTGGTTCAGGCTTTTCAGGTATGTAGCTCTGCTATACTTCAACCTAATCAGTCCTGTTTGATTTACATATAAGTAAAATGTGAAGTTTTAAAGCAGCAAAGAGAAGTGAGTCCATTCTTCATTATGAAGAATCTTGTGAAAAAATGATGAAACTGTTTTGACGGTGTTTTTCTTTTGGAAAGTGACTGAGGAGTATTGTTCTCTCTTTTATCCATGGTACACAAGATACCGTGTGACTCAAATGATTTGAAATATTATAATCTTTGATATAGGTTACGTAACATGGTAATGATACGCTTGTTGACTTGATTTTTTCTGTTCTGCTAAATTTTGAAAGGTGGTGGTTTTGGAGCTTTTAGCAGCCAACAAAGTGGTGGTAGTGGCTTCCCTGCATTCGGTGGGAGTTCAGCTACTGCAAGACCACCTTCTCAACTCTTCACACAGATGAGGAAGTAGTTCCATGCGCACAAATTTTGAAAAGAAAATTCTTAGGAAAGAAACAAAGGGGTAAATGGATGATGTGATAGATGTTTTACTTGTAGATTGTTGTATTCTGGTTCAGTTCACTTTTGTGTTATGAAGTTAGTTAATCCGTGTTATTATTAGTTGTGGATGAAGCCCAGTAATGGGACTGACTCAACAGTGTTTCCTCTTTGCATTCTTTCTTGTGTATTTCATGTTACTTGTGCACTTGGCGAGTTAGAGCAACTGAACTTATCATACAGCTTTGTCCATGTCTGTCCTTCTGTCTATTTTGGTTTGAGACTCTGGAAACTCATGTTTTCCCACTGCATTATCCCTTCTCTGTCCCTCCTTTGGTTGGTACCTTAGATTCAATAAAACGTTCTTTCCTTTTTCTATGGGGGTTTGCTCGAAGTGTAGAATCATAAAAGAAAACTTCATATATGTCAAGTAATATATGAGTAGACTTTAGGTTGTGTACAGCTCTCAATAAAGTTTTGTTGCAAAATTATGATCAGATTGATGTGTCAACTGTTATCTAAAAGACGGATTCAAGATAAAATTTGAGTTTGTAGAAGTATGAGCTCAGTGGAGAAACTTCTGGACCAACTATTTCATTTTTGTGTAGAACAGGGTTCCCAAACAATTTGAAGGTAACAAATTTATACAAACTCAAATATGTGGGGGCAACAAATTAGACAAGTAAAGAAAACTAGAAGAAAGAAATGGATAATTATCCAAGGGAAAAAAGATTAAACTCATCAATGAATTCATAATAAAGAATATTTAACTTATATGCTTGATCTGATTTTTCGGTGAAGGTGTTCGGTTGATGAAAATATTTGCTCTTTATAATGATATAATTATAAAGTTGAACTAATCGATGTATATTCTAATGTGATACCTGCAAATTACTTGCAAAACAAAATTTGAAATAAAGAAAGATGAAAAATGAAAAATATAACTTACATTCCATAATGTAAAAAGTAAATTATTCTATCTTTATTTTTTTTAATTACAATAATTCCTTAAAATTTGTAACTTTTAGATACATAAGTCATCAATTGGATATATTAATTTCAATAAAAGAAAAAATTTGTATAAATTACATAAATTTCATGGTGTAAAACTTATGTTACATCATATCCCTACTCTATTCTATTTTAGAAAAATCCCTTAAATATTAGCCATCTGGATACATAATTGGCTGTACGGATACATTAATTGTGATACATTATATATATGGCTACTGCACTTAAAAAGGAAAACAAAACAGAAAATCAAATTAAAATTTCATAATTTATGCTATTCAGTTACTTTTTATTGTATTCATCAGAGAAACGTATATCCTAAAATAACAAATCAATTTAAAATTCAAAATCCATGTTCATTTTTGTCCATCTTTCAACGAAGAAATTTTCGAGTAGGATTCAAATTTTTTGTTGAAAATTTGATAAGATACATAATGAATATTTTGATAACACTCTCGAAGGAAGAAAAAATCGAAGATCGTTGTTTTTGGGTTCTTTGAATTCTACACGAATCTCACTATGGATGATCAGGTTGAGTTTCTTTGCTAATTTTCTTGGTATCTTTATTTTATACCGGTGGTTGCTTACCCTTGTGTAATGGCAAATCCCAAATATGAAAGTAATTGAAAGATGTTTTAGACTTAGCTTGGGCAAAAAATAGTTATTATTTGCCATAACTTCAATTGTCGAGTTAAAGATCTGATAACAAAAGGTATGAAACACATATTCATGTGATTTAATCAAGTATTTTCATTCATGAATTTGTATATGATTGATATGTCATGATACATTACTGATAGAAATTGATACATTAAAACTTTGAAGTAGACGTAGATTTGAAGATTTGTGAGTTACTGTACTTTTAATATAAAATATCAGATACATGTAAATTTCTTTTTTTATTTTTGAATTTGTATATGTACATATAAATCATGATACATTGTTGATTGAAACTTGATTTAATTTTAGTTGTATATGCAATGAATTTCTATAAATGTGAGTTAGTGTGTCATTACTATAATGTATCAGATACTTGTGAATTTTTATTTATCAGTATATGAATTTCTTTATAAGTATGAATACATAAACTATTGTGTATTTGAAGTTAATTATCATTAGGCTTTTGTGTATCTTAAATTGAGTTATTTGATATATGATGTATCTCTCACTTTTAAATGTGCACAAGGTGTTCCATCTTCTAAATATTTATTCAATGTATATAAGTGGATGGCGATACATCGTTTGCCTTTAGAGAAAAATATGTAACTAGGAGATTTCAGTATGACGAGATTCCTTTTACACATACAATTATTGTTGTGAAAGAGCAAGATATTACAAAGACACATCCATACTGCTTTGATTACTACAAACCAACTGATTAGTGTTTGTTTTGAAAGAAATTATATTACCACCAAGGTAAAAAAGATGCCTAGACGACCAAGGAAAAGAAGGAAAAAAATCTAGATGAAAAGATAAGCACAAACACAAATTATTGTGGGCGTTGAAGGTCATAATTGATGAAGTTATACTTTCTTTCCGAAAGAAGATTGACAAACTCTTTTTTTGGGACTACTATTATGTTTCAGATATATTATTTTAAGATTATCGATTTTTAGTTTTTGCTTTCCAACTTTTACTTCGATAAAACATTACAATTTACTAATAGCTGGTGAAATTTTGATATAATAAATTGAACTATTAAGATTTTCAACCTTGTGTCAATTCTTTGTAACACATTAGCTATTTGATAATAATGTATCAGAAGGTGTTTGTGAAGATGGTACCATTCAATACGGTTCATATACATTTTTATATAATGTATCATGATGTAGTTGGAAATGTATCTAATACAACAAGGTTGCGAAAAATAGTATGTAAAATAAACTCAAGTAATCTATAAATGTATAAGTAAGATTAATTTATATATCTAAAGGTTCGATTTGCTTATTTTTGCGGTTGTTTTTTAGTAAAATCAAAACAAAATAGTAGTGATTTTCAAAATTTAAAATCAAACCTAAGCAAACTAAATTAGATATCAATTTTTTCAAAATCGTTTTGGTTCGAACTGCAATTTGGTCTGGTTGTTAACCATAACCATGAACAACCCTACTCATTAGATGTTAGATAGACATTTATGCGATAGTTGTTATGTGATTGATACATTTAGTATAAATTCGAATTTACATATCATATCAAAAAAATTAGTGTTTGATACATTACTATTTATGTATCTCGTTCCAACAGATAAGTATTGTGTTATTACGAGATACATTAAAAAGTTAATTGTTGCTCATATATTGTTTGCCTTGAGATCGATACATGTAATATAAATTAGTATTTATGAATCATGTCTATATATATCGACATAGTTATGTACCATATGCAAAAAAAAAATGAATATGAGATATATTTAATATAAATTCGAATATATGTATTATGCTTAATAAATTAGTGCATGATGTATTATTATTTATGTGTCTTCATTCGTTGTTGCTTCATTAAGATCTTGAGGGCCTTGATCTGGTTCATCATCCTAAAGAAGCAGCATGTAGTATAAGTCAGGATACATTAAATTTATAATGTATCATACACAAACAAATTTTGATGTATCAAACATCTGATAATGTATCATAATACTAAATTTTCTGATCATACTAATACATTCTTATGTGGACTTGCTTCTGCAGTAATATGAATATTTTCATATATAGGTTGGAGTTCTGAAAAATTCTCTATTTCTTGTTGATTTTTGGTAGTATCATGAATATCCTCATCTTTCGGTTAGACTTCTGAAACATCCACAATTTATGATTCTTGATAATATCATCAATCTGTATTTATAGTTTTAGAACAAACAATTGTTAACAAATATTTTAATGATACATTTAATTATATTCAAGAAAAATATGTATGAGATAGATAATTTTATAACATATAATGAACTATAAACACTATTATTCATAATATATCATATACAGACAACCATGAATCTGATCTTCAACCTCAACAACACATAAAATCAATGTTTTGGTCATTATGGCAAAATCCACTTGTATTGGTGAAGTTGTTTGTGAATCAAACTGAAAGGTACTTGTTTGAGGTTCAATATTAACTTTTTTTCAAAAAATTTAATCGTGCAGTACATTAATTTACCAGCAACATTCTTCATCAAGGAAATTACCTATGCAATTAAACCTAATATCTTTTGTGGTTGTTTGTCTTCATGTGTACAAATTTCATCAACTAAGAATTTAGGGAGAGAAAAAATAACAATGAAGAAGATAATTCCTACCTATTTTGAAATTGATTAGAGAGAGAATTCTTTTGAAAATCAAATTGATTTGAAAATTGTAACTGCTAACAATATAGAGTGAATTTAGGGAGAGAAAAAAGGAAGTAGAAAACGTGAGTTTGACCACTGAATTTTTTTATCAGAAAATTTCAACAGTTGAGAGAAATAAGGGATTTCAGTAATATTTTAAAAATGTAGAGAAAAATAAATAATAAGATAAGTAAAGATGTGTATATAAGTAATTTTTCCTTAAAATTATGTATTATCAAAAATCTATGTAGTCATTATGAAACTATATATTCATCAAAAGGTGACAATATATAGTGTGCTAACTAAATTAGAGTAATAATAAAATCTAACACAATTATCTAAGCTTACTGAAAGAAATAATAGATCCGTAGAAAAACTACCGTTTCTAAGAATAACATAAGTGCTCTGTCGCCATATTTTTGAGAAAGTCTAAATATGAACAAAATAAATAGCATTATATATATATATATATATATATATACACACGCGCGCGCGCGCGCACACACACACACACACACACACAAAAGATCTTGGAATGTGCGTTGCACATTTATCTCAAATACTTCATATAATTTTATATTGCAAAATTCATCATTGTTTCGATAGGAACTATATGTATCTTTGTAATAAAAATAATATACCTTTTTACTATAAAATTGATTAAAAGCGCATAAAACAAAAATAACTAACTATGGCACAAATTCAATATGATTAATTATGTGAGTGAATTTCTTTTTTAAAAAATTACTTATTTTGAATATACTCTTTAATTATTACCAGCTGCAGCAGCTTCTTTAATTTCTCCCTTTTCTCTGTCTCGCTCTTTCTCCTTTCTTTCTTTCTTTATTTAATTCTTTGATCTGCATGTAAACTGAATAAAACTTGTATCAATAATGAATTTAACAAGTAATTCAATTGTAACAAATCAATCACTTAATTGCAAAATGAATTAAATTTGGATTTAAAAGTTTATTACACAAAATTTAAGGTGAGACAAAAGAGAGAATTAAGCATGAATAAAAAATGTAACAAATGAAATATGAGACAGTGATCTATAGAATGAATTTTGCTGTATCAATAATGAATTAAACAAGTATCCAATAATAACAATATATAAATAAAAACTGTAAAATGAATTAAATTTGCATTAAAATTATATTACATTGTATTAAATTTGAATAAGAAAGAGAGAATTAAGAATGAATGAAAAATGTAACTAATGACTGATAAGACAATGATCTTTTAAGTGAATTAAACTTGTATCAGTAATAAATTAGACAAGTATCCAATAGTAACAAATAAATAAAAAAAACTTTGAAATGAATTAAATTTGCATTAAAATTGTATTACACAGTATTAAAGTTGAATTAGAACAGAAAATTAAGAATGAATGAATAACGTAACTAATGAAAGACATGACAATCGTCTATAAACTGATAAGTTATATCAATGATGAATTAAACAAGCTAAGTATCCAATAGTAACAAATAAATCAAAAAACTTCAAAATGAATTAAATTTGGATTAAAATTTTATTGTCTAAATCAACTTTAATACAATTTTAATACTATATTTAATTCATTTCAATCTAATATTTCACCTAACATCAATATAAACTTAATCGAACCCTCTTAAAATTGATATATAAAATCCAACGACATTCTCAATTATTTGGAGGAACTACCTATTCAAACTTATCACAAATTCGTAAAATTCAAATAATGAATTCAAAATTTGAAGTTTTATAATGACCATCATGATGAACTCTTCCTTTTGTAATTTTAAAGATTTAAATTTTCTGCTTAAAAACGTGATTTTATACAAATTTTTGATCTTTTTATTTCGCTTTTCATCTTATTTTTGGATAAAATAGTGACATGGGCGAAAACTGATTGGAGGAATATAGTTATTTAGATGAAAAGTTTAACGAAGAAGAATAAGAATTTTTTTAAAAAAGAGGAGGAAGATAAATAATGTCAGGTAAGAGAAAAAAAGTAGAAGAGTAACAAAAACAGAAAGAGATGAAGGAGCAGAAGAGTAAAAAAGAACGAAAGATAGAGTCAAAGAAACAGGAGAATTAAAAAAAGAAGAGGCAAAAGGGTTGAGAAAGAGGCGAGTATTATACTTCTCTTAATTCCAAAAAAATGTTATATTTAGTTAGAAAAATTATGTTGTTATAAATGGTAAATATTTTTATAATATAGCATATTTATGTGATTTGCCCAATTTAATATTCAAATGAGAATATTATAGTACCACATGCTAGACTAATGTATACAAAGGAACAAACCATGATAAAATCTCAATAATTTCAATAACACGACAATAGAAAATTGTACAATAACAACAAACAAGAAACATAAATATTAAACTAAACAAATAAAAAGAGAAAGAGAATAAAGCATAGAGATTTCTCATGTTTTTATTTTTAATTGGTTTAAATGTGTACATTGTTGTGTCAAATGTCACTATTTATAGGATATCATCGAGGAATACAAAGATTTGTCATAAATATTATATTAATCAATTTGAGATTATCAATAAGAGATGAGAGTAAAAAATATAATGAATATAATTAATGAAAGTTATATACATTTACATAATGAAGAGTTAGTGGTAATTTATGTATGCTATTTACTATTAATATATTTAATTTATTAAACAATTTATAACGTTTAAATTATTGTGGAAATAAAACTATCATCTAAGGATAAAATATGTAAGATAATTCAAATATGTTAAAGGCATAATACATAAATATACCCTTTAACTTAACCTCATTTTACATTTATGCCCTCCAACTTTGAGTATGCACAAATAAGTATTTAAACTTGTATAAAGTTGAACAAATAAACACACGAGTCCTATGTGTCACAATACGCGTAGAACATCACATAAGACACAAATTTTCATGTAGGACATTTATGTCTATTTGTTTAATTTTATACAAGTTTAAGTGTCTACTTGTGCACACCCAAAGTTAGAGCGCCTAGATGTGAAACGACATCAAGTCAAAGGATATATCTATGTATTATGTCTATATTAATTGTGTAATGAAAAATCATTATGACTAATTATTAAAAAATTCATAGTAACTATGATTATGAAAAAATCATCACTATTACTACGTGAAAGATGTAAAGATTGTTGGTTTTTTCTTGGGATAATGCCCAAGTACCCCCTTAACCTATGCCCGAAATCTCAGAGACACACTTATACTATACTAAGGTCCTATTACCCCCCTGAACTTATTTTATTAATAATTTTTTACCCCTTTTTAGCTTACGTGACACTATCTTGTGGGCCCAATGATGGTTGACTTTTTTTTCGAACTAGTGCCACGTAGGCTAAAAAGGGCGAGAAAATTACATATAAAATAAGTTCAGGAGGG